GCGCGTTTGAGGACCAGTTCGGGTCTTTGACGCGTTGAGACACGTCTTATTGTTACAAGCTATTTTTAGTTTAACGAGAAACATTTTAATTTTTTTGCCTACTGATGAAAGAGAGGCATGCCCAGTATTATCGAGGGACAGAGAAACACAATCGATACAATGTAATCACGAATAAAGAATCTGATACGAAAAAAGAGCCATACAATAATGTATGAAAGTCCAGGCACACATATAGAGAAAGAAAAAAGTCTGTTTAGCGAGAATTAAATGACAAGGAGAGAGACATCACAACAACACGCTATTCTTCTATAAATCTTTTCGCTCTACAAATATAGTCTATGACTGCACGATATATACATGAAAAATCTTCTTTCAAAAGAGATACATTTATTAAAAGAAGATCAAAACTAAGGGTAGGAGTAATTTGTATTGTCGAAATTTGCTTTATAAGGATTTTGCTTTGAGCATGGAATAACACACACTTCAGTAGATAATGCTGAACTGTCTCTGTCTTTTCACGCGCACACAAACTTGTTATGCTGACAATAATTTTTGTATAAATCAGCTTTCAGAGCAGAAAAATTTGCGCGAAGCCTACTGTATAACAGGTCGATGTCTCCCGGTATATTGTATACAAGACAAACAGAACGCGTCTGTTATATTTCTATTCTATAGACGTGTTAAAGCGCGTTTGAGAACTATTTTGGGTCTTGCACGCATTGCAACGTGTCTAGACATGCTTGTGAAAAGGTTCTTCGAAAAAACAAAATAACTTTGCATTCCAAAAGTGGTTTCGTTCCATTAAAAAGTTATATAGTGTCCTTCTGTGAAAAAAAGAGCTTGCTTATTCTAACTAACACTTTAGCCAGTTAATAAACGAATTCTGCAAAGAAACAAAATAAATTTTTTAGAAGAACTACAATATATGTGATGGAATTCTCGTTTATAAACATTATAGTGACTTAGTTGAGTTCACTGAGTTTTACAAGAAAATTAAAGAAAATCAATTTAAGTTTTAAAACTCAGAGTCTTTTTGTCAAAATTCCCTAGCTTCAAACTATCGCGGTTGTCGGACGGATTAGTAATCTATTTAAGAAAAAATGCAGCTTTGTGCCTTTAATGGTATAACACCCGCAATTTTTTGTATTATTACAGCTAGGTAATAATAACCAATTAAAAACTGCTATTGGGGCTTCCACGAAAATTGTTATAAATCGCCTGTGAAAGATTTCTCAGAGTTGTGAACCGTCTCATTTTGTGGAGAAATGTTTGGACCATAATCCGATATAAGTAGAAACGTTTCAAAGTTACCTATGGTACAAATATGAGCATTCTACCTACCAAATTTAGAAAAAACCCTGTTCAAACAGGTTTTTTTTCTAACTTTAGTGCAGTTTAGAATGCTTACACTTTTGTTAGGAATAATTTCAAGTGCTTCTTTTACAGCTGAAGTTTTTAGAGCAAACATTTCTCCAGAAAATGCGACTATGTTCTGCGACTATGAATAGTTCTTTATAGGCGATTTATAACAATTTTCGTGGAAGCCCCAACTGGTGTTTTTAACTAGTGCATGCCTAATTACAGCTGCTTCTCATAAGTTTTACTTGTCTTCGGCCATGTAATATATACGCATTGACAAGTAACAATACAAGTTGCAAGCTCATGTGGCTGAGTGGGTAAGTAACTTGTTTTCTAATTTGTCTTTCTATTCATAGGTACCAAGTTCGAATCCCATCGACGGCATCATCAATATTATGCACTTATTCCTCGTACGTCAAACTTCTCTTCTAATATCGTAGATTCTCGTCGCTAGAAAAAAGTCTGAACCGCTACAGGAGTTAAAATTGGAATGAAATTATTTATTTTTAAAAATATATATAAAATTAAAGCATGGAAAACGCGTTTAAACGCGTCTTGACGCACTGAAATGGTGCAGATTTGGCGTCATATCCTATAAAAGAGCGTTAGAACGCGTCTACGTCATGCGCGTTTAAACGCGTTAAGATAAAACGCGTCTGGCCGCACCAGAAGGGTGCATATTTGAGCGACTTAAACGCAGGATAAAACGTTTTCAGACGCGTCTACGACTCGAAAAAATGTACATGGATGTGAATATAACTTTTATAAAGAAAACAATAGAACACGAAAAAAATAAACAAATATTACAGGAAAAACATCAATAATTGGATATGTATTTAATATTTTAGATTAAATAGAGATTCTAATTAGAAACTCTTTGTCGTTCTCAGTTTTTCCAAGAAATTCGTCGTTTTTGAGATAAACACATTATTATGCGAAAGATGGCATTGCTGTGAAATATAAAATGTATTTATTTCAAAAACAACAGATTTCTTCAAAAAACCGAGAACCTTCGTTCAGCCATTCTTTAGCAAAGTGTGTCTTTTCAAACTCAGACCCTGCCCACTGGCTATTCCATTCCCCAATACAAAATCATACAGAGATTTGAAACGTTTCAATCTGATGTTTTTGTAACCGAACGGTTAAAGCGGCAGATCAACGTGACGTTTTAACTGTCAGATTGGAAAAAGCGTCAGCTTAGAACAGGTGAAGTGTCGGGTTAGAACGGATAAAACGTCAGGCTTAGAAAAGCGTCAGGTTTTGCCATTTAAACCGTCAGGTTAGCACGGTTTAAACGTGCGATTTGTAACAGCAAAGGTTAAGATAGGCTCTGAGAGGATAACGATGGAGGAGAGCGCTACCGTCAGCGTAACTGATGAAGGTTCTTCCTTTTTTAACACCCAAAGATTCTGTGTAAGAAAATCCAAGAAAATGTTCATTTGATTATTTGTATGACCTTTAAGAATCCTTTTCCTTCTTATTTGTAACTGAAAGGTTTGCTACTGTTTTTTCTTCTTCTTTTGTTTCATAAATCCCCACTCAAAATAGAAGGCCACCCCAGGTCAATGTTCAGAAAGTTTTTAGGTTAATAGATTTTACCATCACTTACTATCTTCCAACTTTGCTCGATCATGGAAATCTTCGCATACTCGGATCTTTTGAATCCAAGGAGATCGTTGTTTATCCTCTTCGATTCGGAAGTTTGACGGTTTGATAAGTTCATCTTTTAATTCTTTTAACTCAGTCATCCACTTGCTGAGATCTCGTTCATCGTAATCTTCATCGTCTCGACCTTTACGAACTCTATTCGATATTTTGCGAAAACTGTCAGTAAGCTGGTCCTTGTTCTTCTCTAGCAATTTCAGAACGTCAGTCCGACATTCATGAGCGAGCTGATTAATTTTATCGATAGAGTCTTTCTTCCATTCATCAATCTGTTTTAATAAATAATGAGAGTTGTTTTCATTTGGCATTTCGAGCTCCTGTTTGAGGATATCGTGTTCGTAAACAACATTGTCGAGTTCTTTTGACAAATCTTGGCAATGATCATTGAAACACCGCCTGCAAAATTTTGCTAAACAGCCATCGCATGTGGTTATACCAGCATTTTTCGCACATTTTGTACACTGAACTTTTGATGCAGTTGTCATTTAAAACTGTAATAAAATAGTTGTTCTTCTATTGGAAAAAATTTTACTCTGTTCCCGTTTCTTATTAATATTAACAATAAAAGATCTCTACTTAGAAAGTCTAAACTTGTGTTTGTAATCTATCTAATGTATAGCAAAAACTTCTGTGTCACTCGTCAGTGAGATTGATTGAAAAACGTGTTCTCTGCAAGTTTTTATATTCGACACATTAAAAAAGGTAACTATTCTGATAAAAACAAACACTTCGTGCTCCTTCTGTACCGATGACGGTTACCTTTTTAAAACAGAAATAGCAGAACAGCCACACTTTGTGCATGCTTCATTTCAAAAACGTTTTTGTACAAGAACTATCGAATTCAAAAGCAACGCTCTTGGCTATTTTCTTGGCTTTTCACTAGTGTAACCAAAAGGTGACCAAATAACGTATGGAAAACGAAGGTTGAAAGTACTATCTGCACGTGGGGTACTTGCCAATGGTTTGAAAGAATAGATTGCCACGGGTCAATGTCTCATAGCGACTCCTATGTCTGGAATATACAAATAATAGCCTATGGTATCCTCTACAAATCTACGAAAGAAAAAGATCTGCATCTCTCATGATTAGAGTGGATGACGGGAATAATGTCGTGAAATTCTGAAAGGTACGATTAAGAGAAAGCACTTTGCTGACTACCCAGGTGTTTTGTTACGGTTATCGTATACGGGCCGTATACGTTTCGAATACGCCGTCTTTACGGCCGTTAATGATTAAATACGAGCGGTTTACGCACTGTATTTTACCGTAAACCAGGCAGGTGTTTTAAGACCGTATTTACGCCGTACAATATACGGCGTGTTTACGGCTTAAATAAGATTATCCTATATGGGCGTATATACACTGTAAATGACAGTAAACATACCGTATTTCTACCGTATAGAGGCGCTTCACGGTCTGGAATTATACAAACGATAGCTTTGCTTTCGTCTAATTAATATTAGTTTTATTGTTCATATCATGATAATGCTTGACAAAAAAGGAATAGTCAGACAAATAAATGTTAGAAGTGAAAAATACACTTCGAAAAACATAAAAATAATGCCGTGGCTCTGTTCATAAAAAAAACACTCATTTTCGTACCAAAATCATACATGACAAATAAACTCAAATAGACAACAAACATAAATAAACATATTTGTTCTGATATCCATCGCTTTAACACACAACAAAAAATGATTACATGCAAGTAGAAAAACTTTTCATAAATGAAGATAATTTCAAAATAAAACTATCTAACGACAGCTAAAGAATAATTACATTATATGTCAAAACTATTATTTATCAGTCGCCGTTGACGTTGATAAATTAATAACAGGCATCGACGTTAGATGTACTGTCATAGGAGTAGATATTTCCGTTGACTCTTGTTGTTGTACTCGAAGACGTTTTGTTTTTACCTTATCACGGCATTCTTCTTCAAGCAAAAAATCCAAGGGGGGAAAAGCGATTTTCGAGGATCATGGTATCATATAGAATCGTAATAGAATGCTTGAGGATCATATAAGGATCATCGAACATCATTTTGTCAGCATTAAGAGAGCAAATTTATCTCTGTATTATCAATCTTGGTTGTAAAGACTGAACTGAATTAAATTATCTAAATTTCACTCTTTCTCATAAAATAGTTAACATCTTGGACTTCCCTCCAGACGAAATGTTCAAATGTTGGTTTTTTTACTAAATCTTTATCTTGATCATTTATAAGGCCTATTCCTTGCTGTAAGTCTCAATTTTGGTGCAACATATAACCAAACCCTGTGAGAACAAAGTTGATGTTTGATGCAATTCAATATTCACGCTTGCACTTTAGAGGTTGTGTATCCTTAGATATTAATGATAATATCAGTTCGTTGTTAAACCCAATCTAACATTCTGTGAATGAAATGCTTTGACTACGCCCCTATCCTCTGTGCATCCGACAGGACCGACCTGATGCTCACTACTTGGTAAAACCTTCAAACATTAGTGCGATATGTATTCCGAGTTTTTCCACATTATGAGATGACATTTTATATGAGTGAAAAAAAGTTTTCTCACAGCTTCAGAAAACTGAACTTCCGAATAACAGAACACTTTAATCTTGATTAACTGCTTGTTGCACTCGCTCTAGACGATCACTGGATAACCGGTTTTTGCTTTTTTTGAAGACCCAGCAAGCCGTACTCTTGTGAATATAACGGTTTTCTCCATTAATTTGAATTTGAAAATACGATTGTTCATCTTTTGGATAAATATCAGTTTTTATTTTCATTCCTTTGTATTCATTTTTTTGCAAGATTTTAAAGTATTTGTTACTGGTGTACTGTCGTTATCAATTTCTTCCTCGTCTAAACTATCATCTTGTTGACTTGCATCATTAACATCTATATCTTGCCCTTCGTTTTCATCCTCCTCTGTCTCATCATTATCATCAAGTTATTGCGTTGTTTGTGATATACGAGTCGATTTTGACAAATGATTCTTAATAAACAAACTTAAATGATCTAACTCATAACAGTTTTTTTCTTTTAATAAATTTATTTTTGAGCAGTTTTGTATGCATCAATTATAATCGTCTCAATCATACAAAGATTTAATTTTTTTGCCATATTAGTTGTTGCTGTATAGTTCGGTCTGCTTTTATCACATTTGTAATACGAAGGAAAATGAATTTTGAAACCGTCGTTGTTTGTCTCCTCAAAATATTTGATCTCGTGCAAAACTGATATCCGTTCACATCGTTTAACAAAATCATTCACTGTGAAGTTTGTAATTGTTGAAAACTAAATATTCAGAAATCCTATGAACCAGCATTGCTTTAAATGTTTATTTCAAAATTGGTTGCAAAAAAGAATAAGGACTAACTGGGCTCTCACTGTCTGAGACGGAATAGTGGTCACATAAGTTACGCATGCTCACCATTCCTGACATTGATCGTACCATACGAAATGTACTTTCACATGTTTGTGAATTTAAAATGAAAATATTTAAAGCGTCTTCTTGTATTTGTTCTTCAACTACTAACATAGCAATGAATAATAGATTGTGTGCATTTAATTCAAGAGATTGGTACGCAACATTTGTCATATAAAATTTCTCCTTATTCACTTTTTTTGTTTTCATTTGATTAACATCATTTTTATTACCAGTATCTAAAATTTCATCTGGGTTTCGAACATACTGGAGCCATGCTTTCCATAAGCGACTCGAGAATACAGTGACCCAAGCGTAAAAAATTCTTTGATCAATTGGTGTTGCTTGGTCAATAAACGCTGTTATGATAAAATTAATCAACGATAAGTAGACATAAGTTGCTTCTTTTTCGGTTTTCTCATATAAAATTCTAAGAACATCGCCAGAAGAAATTTTAATACATGATGCGAAATTCTGATGGTCTTTTGGATATACGTCAGATTTTACTAAACCATGGTCGAATTTGAATTCGTATAATATTAGGCCTTCAAGATGTTGTAATGATGCTCTCTGGTCACCAATAATCAATTTAGCTTTATTTGACAACAGTCGATTTCAGATTTTGGTTACCAGATGGATTGGGTCTCGAATGAATAACAGAATTTGCTGATTATTTAAGAAAAACCATGTCCAATTTGATGGAATATTGACTTGCAACACAGCTATAAACCTATAGATGTATTTATACATAAGCTCTATTTTCACATTGTAGAAAAGGTTTGTCATTTGAAGTAACTCACTTCGTTTTGATAATAAATCGTCGCTCAGTGAATGAGTAAAAAATCCACTGATGAGACGCATTGGTTTGAGGTACTTCACATCACAGTCAGTGGAAAATCCAAGAACTCTCATTTGTTTACTACAGCACTCATCGAAAGTGTATAACCATCTTTGTAAAATATCATTAGCATTAGCTTTGCTGTTTGTTCCGTACGCTGATAACTGAAAGAACCAATAAAGGATCATTGAACATTACTTTAGTAGAGAAAACATGATAATCGTCACACAGTCACAAGTTCTTTGAGATCCAAAAATTAACAATTAACCTACTACGAAAGGTGATGAATTCTTTAAACATTTTGCTATTGGTTGTACCATATGAACATTCATAAGGGGAGCTTTCTCTTTCGTGTTAAACCATTTTTCTAATTGGTAAATATCATCTGTTTTAAAATATTCACAAACAGGTATACAGTGGGCATTCAGGTGGAAATTTAGAAAAAAACATTGAGCTTGCTTTTTCGTAATTTAAATAGTGTTTCATATACTTCGAGTGACGGCCGATTTAATAGCGAAAGAATTTTTATTCTACGACTTTTCCTTCTATAAAAGATTTAAAATGCAAAAACCATTATAACATCGAGTCGATTGCACAACTTCAATTGTTGTACAGAATATAGATATAGAACGGTGAATTTAGTTTTGTAGTTTACTACAAAGCTAATAAGATCACATGTTCGAACCTCTATTCGTACAAAAATTGATTTTGTGCTTTTCGATAGTTTTAGATTAGAATACTATAATGGAATATTCTTCCGCTTGTATTCTGACAGAATAAAGCTTATATCAAATGCAAAAACACCATGTAAATGCGTTATTTTTTCGGAAAATTTCGATTTTTATTGAAGGATAGTAAATTAGAATAAAACTGAGATCATATTCTGAAAGAACACAGTCAGACGAATACGAAAGAAAAAAAGAATTTTGTTTTTCGAGTGAAACTTAAGAGTTTTGGAATGGATTCTTTCAAAAACGGTCTAGGCTGTAAAGGCTCTCTCCGGTATTTTGAGAACGCGCAGCTTAGCGCAGGTCTGAACTAACATACTTTTATACCAAAATGTTCCTCGCGAGGCCGTGCATCTATCGTCAAGAGCGCATATTTTCGCAAAAGAGCGCATATTTTCCTTTTTCGTACTCAAAAAACATTTTTTCCTACATGATATATATATATATTCGGAATCACCGTGAAAAACTGCAAGGATAGTATATAATTCATCTGAATTTGGTCCTTCCGTTCTGAATTCTATAAATTTCTTAGATTTGGGATTCACACGAAGAACTTTTCCCTGAAAATTCAAAATTCAAGAGAGAAACCGTGGAAGGTCTGAAAAAACTGCTTCTATAGGTTATCGACGATGCTCTATGCAATGGAATGTTTTTTCAGTTTAAAAACGTTTTTCAAAGGGTTTTCCACAAATTCGGTCTCTGGAAAACCCACTGGAAAACTTTGTCCAAACTGGAAAACTATTTCATTGGAAAGAGAATCGTCGAAAACCTATAGAAAGTGCTTTAGATAATTTCAGTTCACTTATAAAGTTAATGTCCGCCTGCTCCAGCGAAAAATGCCCACTGTGCCAAAACAGTGGAATATGTAAAGATGATAGCAAAGCGATGAAGCTTTGGCATGACGCTTGAATTATGTGAATGGCTGAACGAATCTATTCAGCTGAACCAAAAGACAATAATGACTTCCTTTCCTACTTTGGTGTACCATTGTCAAGTACAGCGAATATTAGACATTTACCACAGGCAATCTGTCTAAACTTTATTTATTTTAATAAAAACTCGTAAGATAAGTTCTTCAATGGATGCAATAGGTATTTCTCAGATGTACATTTTCTACACAGGCTGTGGCTATAAAAACCAAACACAATACACTAAACGAATTTGATCAGATTCTCGTAAGCTGAGACTTTACTCTTTCGAACAGCATATTCGAAAAATTAGTAACTAACCAACGGTGTCGCCCAGTCTTTACGTCTTTATCCAAATATCTCGCAACTTTTAAGTTTACAACCACATCCCCTTTCACATACATCCTAGAATCATGATACACCAAGCAATTTATCACATCCCTCATGAATGGTATATACAACGACGTCATTCAGATACTTCGTACCTGCTAACCTTAACACTCACACTTCAGCTCACACGCAGATGACACCAACATCATCAGAAACGTGATTAATCACACAGCTAGTGAAAAATCCACAGCACAATAATTAAATTCAAATATCTCGCATCCTCAACGCTCAAAAGTGAAACCTGACCTCACACAAAAATCCACAGATCAACCTGAACGATGTAAATGATCACACCGCCAATGAATGATTCCCACAAAAATGGCTCCATTCATATATCTCGCATTTCGAAGTTCCGAAGTGAAACATGAGCTCACATATAGGTCGAGAGATGATCATGAGCAATGTCATTGGTCATACAGCTAATGAATGATCACCACGACGATGATTCCACTCATATATCTCGCATTTCGAACT